AAATAGTTGTCCTATTTAGAGAAATGACCTAGAGCTTAATCCCTGAGGCAGTTTGGTAAACCCTGACTATAGTTGTTTGAATTGTTCTCCAGTTATAAAGTTGATTTTGATGACTTACTGTTTTTATAAGCTGTTTTTAATTCATTGTAAACATTGACAATAATTATCAAATGTGCTGTTAGTGGTATTCTACTTGACATATACTAAGAAATGTTTGACTTTTTTATGCTTTAAAATGGTTAGCCATTTTATCCTAATTTTTAAAGAAATGAATTCTTTTTTTTTTATTTCTTTAAATAGATCTTTTTTTTTTTTAATTTATTGTGAATACAGGTTCTGCCTGCATGTATCCCTGCAGGCCAGAAGAGGGCACCAGATCTCATTACAGATGGTTGTGAGCCATCATGTGGTTCCTGGGAATTTTACTCAGGACCTCTGGAAGAGCAGGCAGTGCTCTTAACCGCTGAGCCATCTCTCCAGCCCAAAGAAATTAATTCTAAAGTGTATTTTGGAAAATAACAAGATTCCCTTTAAAACAGGGAAAACCAAAAATACTGGTAGAGTTAGTGCCTATTGTGTACACTTTTTTAATCCACAGCAGGAAAAGTGAAAGACAACATAAGATGGACTTTTTTGTTGTTGTTACTTTTTTTTGTTTCCAGACAGGTTTTCTCTATGTAGCCCTGGCTATCCTAGGACTCACTCTGTAGACTAGGCTGATATAATGGACATTTATAAAACATTGTTTAGTCCTAGAAAAATTTGTATGTTGTTAAATCTTTGAGTCACGGCCCTTTGTTTTTCTATTTGTATGATTAGGTATGTACCATGCCACATTATTTTGGGAAGTTACCATTATGAAAGTTGTTCCCTAAGATATTAGTAATCCTTGAATATGTAATAATGTAGAGAGCAGAGGATGAAAATTGAGTTTGGTCAGAGATTAAAATGAACTCATGGCAAAAATGTCCTCAGGCCTCATGGCTTCTTTTTCCTCAATGAGGAACAGGGGTTAGGGTATAATTTTGAACCCTGCAGGTAGCATTGAATTTTACTTTTAAAGGTTTTCAGAAATCTAAACGTGGATGATAGCTAGCTTAATTGTTAACTGCTTTGATGTATTAGCTTAAATCATTAGCTACTTCCATGGCAAGTTACAAGTTTGCTTGCAGTTTTGTAGGAGAATGAGGCCACTTGCAAGGCAACTAGATCTCAGAAGTACTATATGAGAAGGGGCTGTTGAGAGAACTGAAGATCCATGTTGTGGAGTGGTTAGTGTCACTAACTTTACTACTTAACTAGCTATGTGACTAGTTGCTTTAGCTTTTCTAAGCCTGTTTCTTCGTGTATAAAGTGTGTGATGACCACATCAGGATGAAATGAGATAATCCAGTTAATGTTGCAAAAGATTAACAATATGAGCTCTTTTTGTATTGATAACACTGCTGGTTTTTTAAACAAGCCAAATCTGAGACCAACCTAGAGATGGTAGTTGTCTCTTAGTGTTAGGATAAAGTGTGACTGAAGACTCAGAGATTGATGGCTTCAGAGAATTTTCATTGTAATGTTTTTGTTCTTTGTTACTACTAACAGAATTTGGCGAGTTACAGGTTAAGCATTTTTCAATTCACATGAGAAGTGCTTCAGACTTTGAAATATTTGCACTGACTTAGTAGATGAGAATATTTATTTAAACTGATAAAGCTGAAAAACCTGAATTTGATATGAATGCCCTAATACGCTTTAAATTTTTTGTATTTGGTAGCATTTCATGTTTTTAAATTAGAGGTGTTCTGTTTATATTGTACTTGTCCTCCCCCTCTTTTGCAGTTTTTTTCTCCTGCCTAAGTTTCAAGGAGATACATGCCCATTTTTATTTTTAGAAACAGGGTCTTACTGTGTATCTGCGCTGGAACTCAGTCTTACTGCCTCAGCCTCCCAAGTACAGGGATTACAGATGCGTACTAACACACCTGGCTTTTCATACCCTTTTGAGTTAACTGTACGCTTCCTGTCACCTCCATCAGTTGTGTCCTCAGTTCAGTGCGATAGTTGTCAGTAATGGAATTTAGGTGCTATTTTAAGGCATGAAAGTAGGATTTTAAAATTTAGTAAAAAGAATTTAAATATTCCCTAATGTTTCTTACTTGGTAAATATACCCTCATACACACAAATCACATACATATAACTAGGTGCATTTAAGCTAGACAGAACTTGCATTTCTTTACATTATACATATGTAAAGCACCTAAGTAGATTTAGCATAAGTGTATACAGGCTTGATGGGGTATAGCAACAGAATGTTCAAGCTGTGGGCCATAGAATTACTATTTTCTGGGGCATTGCCAGGTGTTTGCCAGTATCAGTAAAAAAAGCTCAGGCAAGGCTTCCTGCATCTCAGTATTAAAGATGTATGTTTTCAACTGAAGCCCCATGGGTAGGTATGCAAGTGCCACCCTGGCTCAGAGGTCAGATGTTTGCTTTTCTTTGTTCATTGTTGTGAATTCTTGTTCTGATAGCAGACTATCCAAGAAGCAGAAAATGCACTAAAAATACCGTGTTAACCACATTGTCTCTAATATATCTCATTCCTGTGGATAAAAATCACATAAAAATTGAAATCAGTTTTCAGGAAGTATGGCATTTTGGTACGTGTGTATGATGTATGTATGCATGTGTGAATATGGAGGACAGACAACCTCAGCTTCAGGCCTTCTGCCTTGAGACAGTGTCTTGGTGGTTCCACTGCATACCTTCAAGCTTTCAAAGGTTTTTCCTTTGCCTCCCATCTCATAAGGCCACTGCCGTTTCAGGTGCTAATGCTACCTATTTAGTGTTTTCATGAGTTCTGAAGATTTGAACTCAGGTGCTTATACTTTCGTGGCTGAACCTACCGAACCAGTCCCTAGTTGTTGGGACTGGTTGTTGGACTACTCCCTAGTCCCAGGAAGTAAGTTTTATCTTTTTCCCTATGCTTCGGATATGATATTCACTTATGTGACTTATCTGTCAGTTTCCTTAGACCACCTTATTCTGTTTTAGCTTACACTCATCATCATACATTGACTGCATTGGCAGTCATCAAAAGCTTATTTGAAAGAACTTGGTCTGTGCAACATTGACCTTTTACAATCTGTATTGCATTCTTGGGTGAATTATAGTCAAAGGCTTTCAAAACGCTGAAAAATTAGTTGTTCTCAATAAGCTATGAGTCTAAACAGTCTTGCATGTGTTATTTAGTTATGACACTAGTGAGTCATAATGTAGGTGTTAGTCCCTAGTTAGTCCCTAGTGTGTGATCATACAGTAGCTTTCCATTTACAAGCTAGAACCTGAACTTCAGCCTTTTGAATTTGGATTGTTATCCTTTCACTTCAGAAGTGCTTTGGAAGCAGGGCTTAGTGCCACATGCCTTTGATCCAGTTCTCAGGAGGTTGAAACAGAAGGATTTCAAGTTCAAAGATGAACCTTGTCTCAAAAAACTATTTAGGTCAGGGTCTGCGACTGGTCTTGTTATATGTACAAAGATCTTTGCTTTTGAAGCTGATAAATTGCCTTTTCTTGGGGAGGGCCACAACTTGTTTTAGTACAGAATCCTAATTTATTCAAGGTTCTAGTCTTGGTGCCCTTTTGCTGTTGTGAATAGCGCTTAAATATGTTGTCACTGACTGCCTAATTTCTTGATTCCTTTTCATTCTTGCTGGCATTTGGTTTTGTACTCTGGGAAGGGAAAATTACATAGTAATTTTTAAGTAACTTGATGGCCCAGTATCCTGTCGTGGTTTTACTATCTATACTCTAGTTGAGTATGATTTTATCTGTGTATGACCCAGTAGTCTCAACTGCAAAATAGGAGCAAGTACTACCTCTTATTAGAGTTGTCGTGTTGATTGAGATATCATGTTCACATGTGCATAGCATGTGGTCCATAGTAAAAAATTCAAAATATGTTAACTGCTGACTCGGTGTTTATGGTGCTCTGGAAAGAGGTTCTGTCATAATGTAAGCCTACTGGAGGTCCAAAGTAATGATAAGCAGGAAAGATACCTATTAAATGGCATGCTGGTGCCAGCTATTGTCCTAGCTCTCTGGAGGCTGAGGCAATCCCAGGCCACCCTTGGTTGTGTTTCAAGTCCTTGGCTTAAACAGGGGGAAACAAACAAACAAACAAACAAACAAAACAAGGGAAAAATCCTGATTAGTGTTTTTGATTTGAGTACAATTATAAAACCTGTTGCTCTTTTACACCATGGCTGTTAACACTATACATTGTCTCATTCAAAAGACAACCAGAAACTGTAGCTTTGGTCTTCTGGTCCAATTTCAGTCTCTCCTTGAATGGCAGAGAGCAAATGAAGCCAGATAGCATCAAGCACTTAGGGTACTCAAAATTGCCACCAGGTGGCATTGTTGTATAATATGAGGGTATAAGTATTTTTCACATCAAAGTGGTTACTGTAGTTGATTGTCACATAGAATGGCATGTACCTTTGATTCCATGGCTCAGGAGACAGGAGAAGATGGATTCTGAGGCCAGCCTGGTTTGCAGAGTTCTGCAGAGTTACATAGTGAAACCCTGTCTCAAAAAAGAAAGAAAGAAATCACCTTATGATTTGCTGGAGTACTCCTGAGTTGTCATCAACAACTGTACTCTATGTTCAGAATATGCAAGAAAACCTAGCCCTTTTGAAGCATTGCTAGGGCAGTGGACAACATGCCTAAAAGCACTTAGAAAAGTACCTGCCACACATTGGGCTGTGAGTGTAGAGTGCTGGCCTACCATGTGTGAAGCCCTGGGTGAGGTCTCTAACAACATATAAGCTGGAGATAGAAGCAGGAGAATCAGAAATTTAAGGTCATCCTCAGCTAGATGGAGAGTTCAGGGACAACCTGGACTAGACATCCCTCCTCAAAAGGAAAAGGTACCTATCACACAATTAAGTGATAAATATTAGCTATAAATATTGTTGTTGCCCTAAAGGTGTTTTTTCTTTTCCAGTTTTTGGGGTCCTTTTTTAAAGAAAGAAGGCTCATGGTGCAAATTGTTATTTCCAGGTGAGTACGTTTTAATATTTTACCTAGCTTGAGTGTCAAGGGCTATACTAGTTTCACGCTATGCTGGAAGAATTAGGGTGCTCAGGTATATCTTAATAAATATTTTCTTTAAGATCTCTATTTCAGTTCCCAGATTGCCTAATTTCCCAAGAATTTGTATTCAATAAAGAGTTCCTTTGGGCCTCTAATGGTGGTGTAGGTGTAGAACCGTTCAAAAATATTGTAACCGCCAGCCCTTTGCTTGCAGTACGGGGGCTGGAGGCCTGGCAGAATGGGTGCTGATGGAACTACAGGGGGAGATCGAGGCTCGCTACAGCACCGGATTAGCTGGAAACCTCCTGGGAGACCTACATTACACCACTGAGGTGAGGGGGCTTTTTTTTCCCTGCCTTATGCCTCAGTAAAGTGAGCTACACCGAGGTGGTGCTCCCAGGACCCAGTATGAGGACTGTCCTCAGGTTTGTTGCTCGAGGTTTAACCAGTCTACAGAGCTGTCTCCTTGCTGTTCCCCCACTTCTGCAGTAGCAGGGAAATGGAGCCTTGGGGAATCTGCAAGGGTCCTAAAAGTAGAAATGCTTTTTATATGGGACTAGAAAGAATAAAAAAGGGCACAAGGGTGGATTGTAACAGTGGTAAAGCCAGACTAGGGACTATGAGGTGCCAGCATTGCTGTCAAGAGCAGCTTTAAAAGCACCTGAGAGGAATGGCATTGCCCTCAACCTCAGGCATCTCCTTCTTGTTCTGCCAAAGGGAATCCCTGTGCTGATCGTGGGGCATCATATCCTGTATGGGAAAATCATCCATCTGGAGAAACCTTTTGCAGTACTTGTCAAACACACTCCTGGGGAGCAGGACTGTGATGAGCTTGGTCAAGAGACTGACACCCGGTACTTGGTGACAGCACTCATCAAAAACAAGATCCTTTTCAAAACTCGCCCTAAGCCTATTATCACCAACGTCCCCAAGAAAGTATGAAAGAACCCCGGATTTTCCTTAGAGAGCGGCCAACTCCTTGGACTCGTGCTCCATTGCCACCTCGAGGACGGCTGGACGGTTCCCTGGGACCACAGGGAGGGCCTGTTATGAACACAGGCCACCCAATGGGTGTGAACTCAGATCCTTTCCTTATGGCAGCAGGTTCTCTTGGTGGAAACCTGGCTCCATTTCCAAGGAATCCAACTTCTTTTCCAAGTTCATCGGGCTCATTGGCTTCAAATCCAGCACATTTTCCTGCTGGTGCTCGTGACCCAAGCATGGCTTCTTTTCCAAGAGGGATGAATCCCACTGGCACTGGTGCAGTTTCTTTCCCAAGGCCAGGTGGTCTTTTGGGACCAGGACCAGGACCAGGCTTAAACCCTAGAACAGGGGCTCTTCCAGGCCCAGGGCCTATGTCTAACCCCAGATTAGGAGGGCTTCCTGGCCCTGGTCCTATGGCTAATCCAAGGGCAGGTGGGCTCCTGGGAGCAAGTCCTGACCCCAGAAGTGGTGGCCCCATGGGTCCTGGATGTGTGCCCAACCTGAGGGCAGGTGTCTTATCCTCTGGTACTGGTCCTCCCAATCCTAGGCCAGTTGGCCTGGGCCCCGGACCAAGTCCTAATCTGAGATCAAGCTTTTTAGGTACAAACGCGGCTCCTAGGTCGGGTGTATTTCCAGGCCCAGGCCTGGGGCCCAACCCACGAGCAGGTGGTTTAGGTCCAGGCCTTGGACCTAACCCGAGAGCTGGTGGCCTAGGCCCAGGCCCAAATCTGGACACTAGAGCAGGTGGCCTCTTGGGTACAGGATCTGGTCTTAATTTAAGAATGGCTGGACCTCAAGGCTTAGATCTTGCCCCCATTCTAAGGGCAGCAGGTCTTTTAGGAGCAAATTCAGCTTCTTTCTCACAGGCTTCTGGAAACATGGGCACAAACCCACCTACCATGTCAAGAGTACCTGGTCCCATAGGCCCAAACACAGGTCCTGGCTCCCGAGGAATTGGCCTTCCAGGGCCAAATCCCTCTGCCATGCCGAGGGCTCCTGGCCCCATGGGCCCTAATTCAGCTCATTTCTCAAGACCAGGTGGCCCAATGGGGGTAAATTCTGGAGCCTTTCCCAGGGGGACAGGATCAGGAGGACTGAACCCAACTGTCTTTTCTCAGTCTTCTGGTACATTGGCTTCAAATCCAGGTACATTTCAGAGGTCTGCTGGTCTCCAGGGCTCAAATCCAGCAATTTTCCCAAGAGCCTCTGGGCCACTAGGCCCCAACCAACCTAACTTTCCAAGGGCCACTGGCCTTCAGGGTCCAAGTCCAGCTGCCTTCCCACGATCTGCTGGTCCATTAGGCCCGGGTCAAGTTGCTTTCCCAAGGTCAGCCGCTGGGCACCTTGGCTCTTCTCCAGCAGGCCCTGTGGGTATCAACCCAACTCCTTTTGCAAGGCCAACAGGAACCCTGGGTCTTAACCCAGCTTCCTTTCCAAGGATGAATGGCCCTGTAACCAAGACTGTGGTCCCATTTCCTCGGGTAGGCAGCCTCCCTGGTTCAAATCCAGCTGCTTTCCCCAGACCAGGGGGTCCAATGGCTGCAATGTACCCAAATGGAATGTTACCCCCTTAAATACCATTTTTCTTCCAGGGCCACTTTGTTTTTTAAGCACTGTGGTTCTGTGGTGGGGCTGTCTCTTAGATAAAAGAGTAGATTTGGAGCTACAGTCTGAAGAACATAGCTGGGGCTCAAGTTCAAATGAGCATTCTTTTCCTCTGCTTTTTTTCTTGACTGAAGGCAAATGTTATTTGTGAGACATGGCCTATGGCAGACAGGGATGATTCTGGCCTCAAGAAAAAGGGTCTCTGGCCTTCTGGAAGCCTGCTGTGCTTTTGTCCCACAGCTTTCTGCCCCTTGTTTCTTACTAGTTTCTTGAATTGTTCTTGTGGACTTTTCCTCAGGGATTCATTGGCCTGCAGGTCCTAATTGCCCGCTTCCCATTGGAGAACTGGCTCACTTGCTATCTGGTGATGCTACATTGGTGAGCAGATCATGCTTCAGTAACTCTGACCTGGGCACCCTGGACCTGGTCATGTTCTACTGCCAGACCTTTCCCTGGGGGCTTGAACACAGAATGGGGAGGTGGACACTCATGTCACAGATCCTACCACATTTCTGCTTTGTAGCTCCTTTCTCCTGGGACTTAGGTGGCCAGACTTAAGGCTCCTCTGATCATCCAGCTCCCTCCCACTGGTACTCCCAATCAAAGAACCTCAAACTCAAACTGATGTGGAGGGGAATTGGGGAATTGGGGTGGGGGTGGAGGGATAAAAGGGAGAATCACTGTGCTTCGTTCAGCCTGATGTGAAGGATGGTTGGTGTTTTTCCTGCATTGTATCTTTTCTTACTGTTTCTTTAATAAATGGGATGAGAGGGCGGTTGCTGTCATTCCGTTTTGTTCTCTTTTCCACAGTGGGCATGTCTAACCTTTGCAGGTCTGTGTTTGGGTGTGACAACAACCCTGTATTACCTGCCATCCAGTATGCTTGCATTTGAGGGAGCAAGCTTTGGTTTAGCCTTCAATCTTCCGTTTCTGTTTTGTGGAGTAGTTGGAGGAGTGCCGGGATTTTTGGATTGGGAGACTTTTTATCTGACAGTTCTTTTCATGAGACCCAGACTCATGGATACTGACACATGCATGTTCCGTATCTGGGTGGCCTTAGTGGTTTAATTCCAGAAATTGAGGCAACTGTACCTGTACCCTGTTTTTTAATTTGTTTTTGTTTTTTGTTTTTTTGGGACAGGGTTTCTCTGTAGCTTTGGAGCCTGTCCTGGAACTAGCTCTTGTAGACCAGGCTGGTCTCGAACTCACAGAGATCCGCCTACCTCTGCCTTCCGAGTGCTGGGATTAAAGGCATGCGTCACCACCACCCTGCTTGAAATTTTTTTAAATCAGCGTTTTTTTTATTTTTGAGTGTGTGTGTGCATTCATACTGGTGCTGCACATAATGGAAGTTAGAGGACAGTTGGGGGTGGGACAGTGGCCTTCTACCATATGATCCCAAGGAATGAACTCAGGTCATCAGGCTGGGTAATGGGTACCTTTATTCCTGGGTCATCTTGCTGGCCTCTTATCCTACTTCTGACTTCCACAGTTACCATTTCTATGATTGATCCTTTGAAAACTAGAGTAAAGGAGCCAGGTTTATTAAACATAAAGACATAATTCAGAGATCCCAGCTGTTTCTTTTAATCTGCACTGTGCCTCTAACCATGTGTTGAAGGCTTGGTCCCCAGCAAGGCTCTTTGATAGAGGGAGGAAGTGGATTCTTGAACATCAGTGGACAAGCAGCTCTGTTGATAGAGTCATAGTTTAAGAGGCTAATTGAGAAGTGGTGCAGACTTTAGGAGGCAAAGCACAACTAGAGAAAGTTAGTTGCTGTGAACATGGCCTCGATGGATTTTTTTTTCCCTTGTTTCCTCTAGCTCCTTGCTTCCCTGCAGCTTCTAGGTGAGTAGCTTTGCTTGAGTACAAGCTCCCTTCTATGATACTTTTTCTCACCAAGTGCCCAGAAACAGAGTCAATTGATAAGAGACCAAAAATGTGAGCCAGAGTGAACCTTTCCTCCTAAAGTTCACTTTGGTACTTTGTCATAGCAATGGACACAACAGCATTATGTACAAGTTTTTATTTTTATAAGTGCAATAAAAAAAATTCTTGACCTGAAAACAACAAAAAAGCTAATCTCCAAGGACAATGAAAATGACAATGCCAGAAGCAGCCACTAGTTGTTGCCAGCAACAGGTTGGCAGCTGCCTTGTCACCCGGAATTGTTTGCATTTTCGTGTCATCAGGGCTTGGTGGTGGCCCATTAAGGCCAATTTAACACTAACTATGGAGTCATCAAGCTCCTCTGAGAGAAAGGTGGCTAGGACCAGTTATGGCTGGCACAGGGGCATCATCAAACTGCCACAATGACATTAGGAGTACAAGAAACAGCACCAGAATGACACCTGCAGTGAACAATAGAGGTGGAGTTGAATTGGGGATGGGGGGAAGTTAAGAAATTCAGGTCCCTAATGGTGCTGCACAGTACTCTGAGCAGTGGAGAAGCTAGAAAGTATGATGACCACTGAGGCCCATCCAGTTCAGATGCTGGTAATCATCATTGAAAAACCAGGTCTAGCCAAGTTGAGGTTGAAACTCTATTAACGGTCAGTGTTAAGAAAGAAAGAGGAGCTTACAGCAGCCAGTGTCTCAATCCCATGAGTTTTAGAGAAGAGCTACAAGAAAGGCACTCCTGAGCCAGAAGTTGAGGGAGGATGATCACTGCCTTGGGAACACCACAGCTTGGATGGTGAGGAGCGACAGAAGGCTTGGCAGAGAAGAGGACTAAGCTGGTAGAGGAGTTTGGACTTGCAGGACCTTACTGAGTAGCATACCATTAATTCCAAGGAGAGACTGATCTTTACCTGTAAGGACAAAGAAATGTTGCAAGAGAAGGTGGATGTGGAACTGTGGAAGTAGACCTAGTGCCTGCATTGTGCCTAGCCCCACCATGCAAATAGTCTTGACACAGCAAAGTCTTTACTCTTTGGTAGCTAAATAAGATGGGGAATTGGAGAGGAACTGGCTAGACACCTTTCATATGAACTAGAGTGATACCACCAATGGTCTCATGAATGAGAATTGGCAGAGAACTTGGTCAGCCTGCAACTACAAGTTCAGCAGGCCTCAGCTCATCTCTAAGTATTTCACACTCAAGGAGATGGTGACCTTTAAGTTGACTAAGCAGAAAGGGAAAAAGTCCATGAAGTTGTAGCCTCTTGAGCATTAGACTCAAAAGGGATACTTAGGTTCCATACTGCTAGGCAAAGGTCAGCACCAAATACCCAGATGGAGAGGTGGTCCTGGAGAAAGAGGAGCCAGTATCTTCAGACTGCATCCTCACTAGATAATGCTGTAGTAGAGAACATGGAGGATGACAGAGGTGGAGCTCCACCATCGGAGGAGCAGAAGGAAAAGGCAGAGTTGAAGCTGCAAAAGCAGCTGTTGGTGGGGTGGGTGAAGGGCATTAGTTGTGGTATCCTGCAATGACTGCAATGTACGGCAGCATTGAGAAAGATGGTAGGACTTGTGAAGCAGGAGAAGGATCATCCTGAGAAGGGGTCCTGGTAGAGTTGTGCTGCACTCTGAGGAATTCCCACCTATGACTTGTCTAGCAACCTGCAGGAACAGAAACAACTGGATTTGAGTTAAATAAGGATCACATCCTTAGATTGAGTCAGGGAAACCTGAGCTGTAGCCTGCGTAATAAGCAACTGTGAGAGATCTCAGCCTCTACCACCATCCCTGGACAAGGAGCTTCTTGTGAAAAGAGGGCTGGTCACAGCCTCATTGCTGGATACTGTGGTAGAGTATGGCTCCAGTGTGTTACCACCTCTAGCCATGTATAGGATTGAGAACAAGATCACCATTAAGTACAGACAGCAAAAGGATTGCTCTGGCTTCACCTTAAGACTTCATGGAGAAGGAGGCTATAAGTCTGATGTTAGGTTGTGTGCATGGAAGGGCTAGGAAGTTTAACAGAATCCATGACTGCTTTGATATGAAAGGCTTGGGCAAGATGAAGATAGAGCAATGGATGCAGGCGCTTATCTGATGAAGAGGAGCTCCAGCTGCACACCTCTGCATGTGACTTTGCTTAAGAGGCAAAAGGCCCATGCATTGTGCTCAGTGGCTGCGCCAAGAACATGATATGAACATCATCACCAAGTAAAGCCACCTCACTTCTGATTCCCCCCAACCCTTAATGTTAAATAAAATTCCCTCCTTATTTAAAAAAGCAGGTAAAAAATAAATATGTTTACAAATTGTAGAAATAATACAAAAGAGGCTGAAACTGTCCATGAGGAAAAACCAAAATGAGTCTCATTGTATAAAGGCTCTTCCCTCTGCAAGAAACAGGGATCCATCTGTAGACCCAGTTTAGTTTTGCTGCTGAAAAACTTATAAAATAAATTAGAAAATCCAGTAGAGGTCAAATGTTGTAAGCTCACTGCTGTACCTGCATCTTTAATCTGAGGAAAGTTGACCACAATGCAAGGCAGAGGAGCTGATCGTAGGACAACCAGTTTTCATCCAGAGTCCATTGTCCTGTACTAACCTTCAAGTAAAAGCTGAAGAGAAACATGCCCTTAGTAAAGTCAGCCCTGTAGTTGACTGACTGGATTGCCTCCATTGTAGTGCACAAAATAGTTCACTTCTTAGCAGAAGGGCCCAGAACAACCGCCTTTAACAAATGGCTGTTGCTTCCCAGACACCATTGGTTGGGCTTGACATCAGTCAGCAATTTTATTGGAAATTTGAGGTCTGTGTGCTGTGGCAACTGTTGGCTGTACCTGGAAAACCCTTGTCTTCATGTGAGCAAGGGAAATCCCAGGGTTTGTCCATCTGTGGTTCGAAGTGCACTTCATTCCTTTGTACGAAGCACCTGTGTACACTGTTCTCCACCTTAATGTTGGTTCTGAGAGGTTAGCTGGCCCCTCCTGAGAACAAATGTTTGGAAAAAGTATAAGCAACCCCTAAAGTCAAAGGCTTAGTCATGATCCTAGGTTTCAGATCCAAAAGCCAAGTCTGGTCTTGATTTTAAAACAATATAAAAAAAACTTCTTATCACTCCCCAAAAGAAGCAGGGAAATCAAGCAGCTATGAGGGGTATGAGAGGACTGAAGGCTGTTTGAACAGTTGCAGCTCCTAGTTTGGTTCCTGGACTGAAGCAGCAAATGGGGAAGTATCCACTACCTGGCCATAGAGTGCCTTGGAGAAGCCACTGAGGAGAATGGATGATCTCAAAGATTTGAGGGTTCATTTGGGCAACACCAGGAAGCTTTCCATTGGGGATGATTGTCGAGAACAGTTATCTGAAAGTTACACATGCTAACCAGCTGCCAAAGGTTCTGACCCGTTCCAAGATGAAGAACAGTATGATCAGAGGTTGTAGTCTTTCCATGCATGTAGGGAGCAGTCTTACGAGCATTGTAGGTCTTGTAAGAGTTTTCTGCCACGGGAAGAAACTTACCCATGAAAATGAATAGGTGACTGCTCCTCACGCCCACTAGAAAACAACTAAGAATTGTGTGCCTTGGATGAAAATAAAATATGAAGTAGGATGCCAAACATTAAATCAGAGCTGAATTTGAGAGGAATTCATGTATGAATGAGACAAAATAACTAAGACTTCTCTGAAAACATTGGGGTTTGAACTTCCTGGTAGATCTGATCTGCCCAGCAAGGTCTCTTGACAATTTTGGAATCCTCGTAAAAGTCTGAGCAGTTTCCAGTTGGAATACATTCAGTCCAAGGCCTCCATTTTGTTGTTGTTGTTTTGTTTTGTTTTGTTTTTGTTTTTTAGCACCAGGACAATCTCTTTGTCCCTCCTGTCAAACTGTTCTTGATCAGAGACATTATCTCATGTTGTGCAGCCTGGCCTTGAACCTCTGATCTCTTACACCTACCTTCCAAGTGCTGGAATTATACATACCCATGACATCTGACCAAACTCCCCTTTATAATATACACACACAGAGAAATAAAACAAAACAACCACCAAACTTAGTACTTAATCCTGGTGGCTTGGCTCATCCCTGGGATGTTTTGATGTGCAGCAGAGTATATTACATAAAGCACCATTTCTTAGACCCTGTTTTCTAACCAAAGATCTGGCTTCCCAGCCTTGTTATCTCAGGCACAATCTTAATGCATTGATGGCTAAGAAGAAGTTTGGGACAGGGGATACTAGCTAGCCAGACTTGATGGGAACTTCTCTTAGACCTCATCATGTTCCAATGGGCTAGGAGGACACTTTCCTAAAGGCTGTCATTGCTTGCTCCTGTACCTAAAGTTGCCACTTGGCACTTAGTTTAGTACACTTCTGGGTTCTCTGTAGTTTCCAGAAGGAAGTGAAATCTTTTTTTCAGATCATTGCCTGTGCAAGGGCAAGCAGACAAGTAGCCTAAAAACAGACAAGTTCTTCTGCCCTGTGCCTGAAAAATCAGTGCCAAGCTTCCAGAGCAGAGCTACCCAGGCCACACCACAGTCACAATTCTTTGCATTTCAGATTTGTCCGTTCAGCCACGAAACTAATACACAAGACTCCCTCCTCCCTCCCACTCTATCTTTCCATTCCCCTCCCCTCCCTTACCCATTGCACTTTTCCCACTTTACTCAGGGGTTTCACACCTCAGCAAAAGCCAGGCTGCACTGCTCTGGCTTTTTCCCACACCTCCGGGCAATAATGGCCAGATAAAGCATGAGGAGGGCCACCCAGTAGCAGCCATACAGGATGGCCCCAGAGACTAGGAAGGCTAGCTCAGTCTCACTGAACAGGTCCTGGCAATAAGCTGTGTAGGCTAGGCCCCCTAGAAGAACTGCCACCCAGATGGACACAGGGATTAGGCCAATGAAGTTCACTACAATGGTTTTTCGGCCAGAAGTGCCCCAGCCAGACTTGTTGATGGTAGCAATGGCAAAGATCTTGGCTGGCAAGAGACTGGACATATAGAGAAGGGAGTAGAGAGACATAAAGATCATCTCTGCATTGCCTCGAAGGAAGCAGGCATAGGTAGCCTTGATAATGCCAACCAGCTGCACCGTCAGCAGGAAGAGGAGAATGTTCCAGATGCGACCTCGGTAGAAAAGTTGTATGACTGTGGCAATGAGGAAGAATGGGAAGAAGCCTGTGACCACTGATTCATAGGTCATCCAGAGGTGGTGCTTATGGAACCACAGAGAATTATAGAGCCATTCCCGGAAGTAAGACTTACTCCAGCGGGTCTGCTGGTTAAGCCATCGGAGGTATTTAGTGGGGGTCTCTGTGAGGCACTTAGAGCGTGCTGTATACTTAGTCCGGTACCCAAGACTCAGGACTCGGTTGGTAAGGTGCCTATCATCGCCAAAGCTGCACTTGCTGCCTAGGAACTTCTGATGGTACCAGTCCTCCAGGAACTGCTGAAGGAGGCTGTTTCGGTACATGCCCAAAGGCCCACTGATACATTGCACACAGCCAAAGTAGGACTGGCAGGCCCGCTCCACGTTGAAGGCCATCCAGTACCTCACACTGCTCAGGAAGGAGATCCACGAATCATATTTGTTGAGGATCTGTAAGGGAACAGAGATGTCTTGTTCATCTCAGGCCTTTCTACCCTGAGTTCTATAGCCTGCTGCTCAAATTCTTGGCCATCAGTTCTGGACTTACTAGAACTGGGGACTCTGAAAGTCAGAGTGGTCATATAAAAGCTTGCTCCACCTTTACACCAGTGACTGCACTTACCCCCAGTAAGGTGCTCCAGTAGTCAGTGCCTTCTCTCAGGAGAGGCACTGGTGATGGCAGAGAAAAGGGCTTGAGAAAGAAGCAGAAAGCAAAACTACTCTACCTGTCTTGCTCCTTTGGTGGTTGGAAAGCCTTTAGGAGGACATGGCATTGCCTACAGTGCCCTCTGGCATAAGACCTGGTTCTGTGTGCTTAACATACTGCTTACAGTTCTTTAGGCTGAGTTCCCTAAAGCATGGGCTTTTTAAGGAACTAACTTGGGAGCTATCTGCTACACTCAGTCCAAAAGGAAGTAGTTTCTGAGACCTGCAGTATCCAAATTCTAGCTCCTTCCAAATCCATGGACTTTCAAAAAAATTATTTTGTGTGGGTGTTGCCTGCATGCATGCCTGTGCACCACTGGCATGCATTCCTGTGGAGGCCAGAAGAAGGCATCAGATCCCCTAGAACTGCTGTTGTGAGCCATCATGTAGATGCTGGTGATCGAACCTGGGTCCTTTGCAAGAGCAGCAGTAATCTTAATAACTAGGCCATCTCTCCAGCCCCCCCCTTCAGATTTTCTAATGCTCCTCGCCCCTTACTCATGTTCAGGAAATGAGTTGGCCTATCAGTGAAGTAAGCCCTTGAAGACCAGTGAAAACTCTCAGGGAAGCCGCTCCCCAGATACTAGTAAGTCCAGAGATTTGTTTCCCAGGCATATTCCCCTGGGTTTGAAACAGACAAGGCCAACCCCAGCCCCCAGGAATTCCTGATTACTTCTTACTTGGACATCTCCTCCAACACCCCCTACTTGAGGATCTTCTTCCAAGACTCGAAGCATCTCCATGGTGCAAGCTGGGTCCAGCACAGTGTCAGAGTCACACACCTGTAGGGAGGTAAGTATACTGTCAGCACTGCAGGCCTAAACAAGTACCCTCCCACTTCAGGAAGCTGCTCCTGCCTGAGGAACCTGACCCCCTCTCACATCCACTTCCAGCAAACTTCTCTATGCTAGGTAGAAAGGGGGGGGAGGGAACAAAGGGAAGTAGGGAAACGGACAGCCAACAGTTCAGGCACAATGCGGCAAAGGAGGGATCCCCAGGAGATGATGTAAGGGGCCACTGCTGAGGTGATCTCATTTCAAACCTGGCTCCTGGCAAACCTACAGCACTGTGATAAAAATGAGTCTACCAGCTCCAAAGCCACTTCATGAGACAAAGCTACTGCAGCCAAGCTTAGAATCTTGGCCAAGTCTCTATGACAGGTATATGTGGCCAACAGCTCCTCTTGTCTGACTTATTCGGAATAAGCCCAGAAGCTGGCAGCAGATGCCAGCAATCACACCCTGCATGAAATCCTGCCCACAAACGTAGCTCCTTCCCTCATGATCTAATACATCACTGTTAGTTACACCTGAGCTCTGGGAACACTTACCATGGTGGCTGACTTGCTGTTTGTTTGCCTGCCTGTCTGCGTGCCTTCTTTTCTTCCTTTCATTTTGAGATAGAGTCTCTTCATGTACCCCTGACTGTGCTGGAGCACTATGTAGACCAGTAAAGCCTTGAACTCAGATATCTGCTTGCTTCTGCCTCCCAAGTTCTGGGACTGAAGTTGTAAGCCACCATGACCAGCCTTTTTTGTCTTTTTTTTTTTTTTTTTAATCAAATATCCAGTGTTTTGTATGCATGTATGCCTACATGCCAGAAGAGGGCACTGGATCTCATTATAGATGGTTGTGAACAACCATGTGGTTGCTGGGAATTGAATTCAGGACCTTTGGAAGAGCAGGCAGCACTCTTAACCCTTGAACCACCTCTCCAGCCCTTCTATCTGTTTTTTTGAAGCTGCTGAAATGATCCTGGCACTCCACTAAGCAGGGAAGTTGGGTTTACTAACCCACTGATTGGGCTGTTTGTTTGGTCACTGTTCTCAGAGCAGATGAACTCAAATCCTGTTCCATCAAAGCCGTTACTAAAGTTGCTGGCATAAGGCCCTCAATTAAATTCCCAGAACCGAAAATAAACAAGATTGCCTCTAACACCCCAGTTTTCCTGGTTCTTTTCATGGTAGAAGACAGGATGGCACAAACGAGCAGGGTAATGCTAAGGTGGGTCTGTGTGTGTGTGTGTGTGTGTGTGTGTGTGTGTGTGTGTGAGAGAGAGAGAGAGAGAGAGAGAGAGAGAGAGTGTGTGTGTGTGTGTGTGTGTGTGTGTGTGTGTGTTACGCATAGCCACCAGCACCAGCTCTGCTTCCTTTGTCCTCCCCACCAGGCTTCCTTCCATTCTACTGGAGCTGGGGGAAGGTCCCAGGGAACCTCCATCCAGACTCCCAGAGCCTCAATTTAAAGGCCAACTGCTCAATGATGCTGTTCTTGACTCAGTCTAACCCATTCTCTGTGCTACTTTGCTTCATCCACTCCAGGAAGGTCCTAGCTATGCAATCAGGGAAGAAAGAGTAATGTCTGTTTGGGTGTCCCCACTGGCTGGACAAAGTTTTTTTCCCACAGAGGGACATATACATCTTTAGCTGTTGAAGACTAGCTAGAACCCAGGACTGCCTTAGGCAGTGGTTCAGGACCATGAAGAGTAGAGCATGGCTTTAGTGTGGGAGTCTGAAGGTCCACCAGAATGCACAGATGATCAAAAAAGGCAAAGCAGGTTTGGTCAGCTCCTGTTCATGGAATGGCTGATAAAGTTATTGTTGTCTGAGCAGTTGCCAAGACCAAGGGCTTTATCCTGTGCTTCTGGGTTCTAAGAGAAGTTTAACAAAGACCCCAAGGCCCCAGGTAAACTGCAAAATCAAACAGCCTTCTAGGCATATCCCTCCTACATGCTTGGATCCACGGAGTTAAAAAAAGACATAACAGGTCAACTCTTACACAAGGATAACTTTAAAAGGGGGTGGGCGTGGGGCTGAAAAGGTGGCTCAGTGGTTAAGAGGACCAGGTTGGTTCCTACCACTATAGCTGCTTAAAGCTCCAGGTCTAGGGAGTCAAACTCCCTATTCTGGCCGCCACGAGCAGCAGTCACACATGGTGCAAAGACACAATACGCAGGCAAAATATCCATACATATAAAATAAAAACAATCTTAAAAAACAAAAACAAAGATAGGGCCCGACAGTGGTGGTGCACGCCTTTAATCCCAACACTTGGGAGGCAGAGGCAGGCAGATCTCTTGAGTTTGAGTCCAGCCTGGTCTACAAAGCAAGTTCCAGGAGAGCCAGGGATCCAGTGAAACCTGTCTTGGGGAGAAACACACATGCATACGCACGTGCGCGTGCGCGCGCGCACGCACACACACACACACACACACACACACACACACACACACACACACACACGAAAATATATAAGCTAACTTTATATTATAGAACACTTAGTAGCATTCAAGGACTGAACATGATGCCGATAAGATAGAATCAGTACACAGTGGGTTACCAAACAGCCACTATTCTTTTAAGTGTTTATAAACAATTGGCAGAACCCTTTGGCAAGTGGAGAAGTCACAAGAGGATGTGAGGAACTCTGGACCAGAACTTGGGCAACTGAATTGTGTGTTTCTAGTTGGTACTAAAATGTACACTTTTAATCATTTTTGCTCTTTCTAGTTTGTATTTGAAATTTTAAGCTACATAAACCTTGTCAATCTAATAGAATTTCCAGGCTGGTGCCAGTGACCACTTGATCAGGATTTGGGCGAGGTTTGTTTAGAGTTCTAGTCCTGTCAACACTGGAAAAAGGAAGTTGGCCATTCATATACCTGAGTCCTTCCAGCTTCTGTGTCAGACATGAATTCTGGCACTAGGAAGAATGGGACTTTGTGGTCCTAACTCAAACAAAGCTGAATGGTTTTTAGCAGGATCCTTTTACATTATACTTTTTGGTTTTTTGAGACAGGGTTTCTTTGTGGAGCTTTGGAGCCTATCCTGGCACTCGCTCTGGAGACCAGGTTGGTCTCGAACTCACAGAGATCCGCTTGCCTCTGCCTCCCGAGTGCTGGGATTAAAGGTGTGTGACACCAACACCCGGCTCATACTTAATTTTTTTAAGATTTATTTTTATAATCCCAGCACTCTGGGAGGCAGAGGCAGGCAGATCTCTGTGAAAGCCAACCTTTCCTATAGTGCAAGTCCCAGGACAGCCAGAGCTACAAAGAGTAATCCTGTCTCAAAAAAAAAAAAAAAAAAAAAAAAAAAAAGAAAAGAAAGAAAGAAAGAAAGAACTGTGTTTTTCTGTATGTGGGTGTTTTGTCTACATGTAACTCTGCATCACATGCATGCATTGCCTACCAAGGCCATAAGAGGGTGTCAGATTCTCTGGAACTGAAGTTATAGAGGTTGTCAGCTGCTCTGTGGGAACAGAGGTGGGTTCACTAGGACAGTACTCTTAACTGTGAGCTGTTTCTCTAGTCCCCACTTCAAACTTCTTTACGGTGTTTAGTTGCCAGGAATGAGACACAAGGACTAAAAGCAGGCCATGGATAGGCTGCCTCAGGCTGACATTTTGGTCTGCTGTTTGACATTAGGCAAGTTATTCTCTAAACTTCTGTTTCACCTTTCTGGGAACTCAGAGAGAGCAGTACTTTTATGTGCAGAGCTATTATAAGAGTTAAAAGAATGGATATATTTGAAGCACCCCCCAAAATTGCCTGGTATCCTTTTGCTTCTGTTATTATGGGGACACCAGTTTAGAGATGTGCTCAGTTACCAACAGAGCCACAGCCCAGGTTTGGTCAACCCCAGGGTTTCTTCAGAACTACTATGCCTTGTTTATATTCGAGGAGGGATGGTTACAACACCAAGACATACACCCATTTAAAGTGGCTAGAGGAGAGCATGCCCTGCTGGCCACATGTGCCCATGTGCACACACTCCTAGGGAGGCAGCCTTACCTGAATGTAGTCCACTGAGTTGCCAAGGGCCTTGAAGGCTGTGTACATGACTTCACGCTTGCCTCCCCATTTCTGCATGATACATGAGAAGGTGCTGGTCCACACTACAGCTCGTACACGCTCCATGCCTTCCTGCAGGCTGGCCTCTGTCTCTCCTTCTCCCGCCTCATGGAAATTGCTACGCCACACAAAGAAGCCAGCTTGATCAGTGCCTCCCAGCACCTCATGGAAGATGTCTAGCATGTAGGCATCTTCCTGGCGATTGCCATCCACTACCATGACCACCTTGAGGTTTGGAAAGGCGATGCGCTGAGCTGAACGCAGGCACTTGCGCAAGTACTCAGGGTCCTCTTGGTAGGCAGCAATGCAGAGTGCTACCGAACGCTGCCTCTGAGAGCAGTGCAGCTTCAGTGGGCGCCCTGCCTTGCGCATGCGCCGGTGCTCCAGGAAGGCAAACAGGCTCTGGATTAGCAGATGTAGACCCAGGATGGCACCGTAGAGGCCAAAGGATAGGTAGTGCTTTTCTGTGTGGATAAACTGGTAGCCTGTCACATAGGCTGCCAGGATGCCCCCTAGTACCACCAGGGCAAACAGACTGGTGCCCACCACACGCAGGGCTGTAGTCAGCGGCACCGGCATCTGGGAACAGTAGAGATAGTGAGTGGATCAGGAAGGGGCAGCATATCCTCAGAGATAGGCCCAAAAGGAGAAATGACCCACTAATAAAAACCATTATCACTTATTGAACTTCACCAAGACCACACGGAAAATCAGCAGCTGGACTTCTGGGGTTCAAGTCCCAGTTCTGCCGTTTCTGTGTAACCCACTTTCTCTTTAGCTGTGTGACCTGTAAAATGTGTTATACTACTAACTTCTCACAGCATGTTCTAGTAGCATATGGCTGACGTGTAAGGGAAGTAGAGTAGCATTGATCATAGATAAAACAAAGGCTAGTCCCTGGAATATGGTAGAGTGTGACCTGCCTGACCCAAAGCTCCTGATAGGCAAGCTTCAGCAGGGACACTGGGCACCAAGAAGTCAGTGTGGGAGAAGAGGAGTCGGGTGGCAGTCCATGGCCCACTGTGCCATCACCTCTGTAATAGCAAAAGGCCCATGGAGAATGCAGGGGCAGGGAACATAAACGGGGTGTGAGGTGAACAGACAAATCGTTATCCTTTTCCACCGCTAACTCCAAAAGAAACTGTCCGATGTTTGCTTTCACTTTTTTTTTTTCTTTACTTACTTTAGAGGCAGGAGAAAAGGCCAGTGGGGAAACTGATGGGGAAGGGGGAGATCAGGTTGGGTATGGACAACCCTCCTTCAAGTCCAGCACTAAGAGCCAGAGGGAACTGCTGCAGGCACTGCAGAGATGGCTGCGGGAGCCCCACCCACTTGGTCCTAGTGCCCTGGTAGGCTCTCCTGCATGTCCCCTGATCAGCCACTCGGGCAAACAATGCAGGTTTCCCCTTGTAACTAAGTTAGGGTTCCTAGCACCTGCCCTGTAGGGAACAGCTGTGCATTAATGAGAAGAGCCCAGGACTTGGCATCAGAGATCAAGGGTTGGACAAGCTCCACTGCCTCCTGGCTACCTGACCTTGCTCAACCATTTAGTGTCCAGGTCCCTAGGAGAGATGCTAATGATTCCTGCTTCTCAGATCTAGGTAATTTCCCAGAAAATGGATGCACATTAGCCCTCAAGGGCTTCCCAGGTGGGAGAGGGTATGAAACAGAGGGGGGAGAAGAGGCTACCCTTCCCTCCCGTCTCCGCTACCTGTCCCATCTGGAGAATCCGTTTCCACCCATGTCTCAGACAACGACCTCTCACTTCCAAGTCGGCTTCAACTCTGGTCTCCCTGAAACTGGGCCCCATCCCAACAGGAACAGACTTTGCTGCCAAGGACACCCCTTACATAGGATGGGTGAGGAACAGTCAGTCACTGCTTAAATCCGCAAAAGCATTCTTCCAACAGTGTAGATTTGAAAAAGCTCTTGGCAGCTTGGCCTCTCCGGGAAGCCTAGCCTCTGGGCTCTCTGCCCCATGAGCCCCCGGAGCCACCGCACGATTCCTCTGTAGGACTCCCGGCTCTCCCTGCACACACCCAGCCCAGAACGCTCCAGGCCTACATCCCCTGCCCGGTCCCCCTCTAGCTGATGCGTGGAGGGCGCTGCGGGCCCCGCTGTCTGCCTCCTCTGGGGACAGAAGGTACCCTGGCCAGCCCAGCAACCTGCGCCCTGGCGCCCCGCCTCGGTGCAGTTCCAGAGGCTGCCCGGTAAGGTCCAAGGCAGTTACCGAAGCTTTCCCCACGCTCCTCACCCGGCTTGAGCTTCACCCCGCTGGCTAAAGCCACACGGCCACACCCACGTGCCGGTTTCCCACGACCCAACCAGGAAGGAACGTAAAATGCAAGAAATAACAGCCAAACCAGGCCCTACTCATCTTCCCAGGGCCCCAGGTACCTTGGCGAAAGAGTGCCTGCAAACAAAGGCGGCATCCCTGCTGTTGCCAGTCCGTTCCATCCGCGGGCCGAACCCCTCCCTCTCAGGAATTAAGAGGCAGTACCTTTGTACCCACCTCCCCAGAGAAGACCCAAGAAGGTTCTGCAGCCAGATATCCTGTGTACAGTCAGTCTCTGGCGCGGGCTCTGGTTGGGGTCCCCTGCCTAGACAGGGGGCTGTATTTCCCCAAGCTGGTAGACAAGAGTGAGATCTTATATCACGGGCCTCTATTCCATCCCCTCAGAAGAGATCCGGGAAAGCTAGCTAGCTAGCTAGTTAGCTACAGCGCTCTTGGGTCCAAGGGCATAAGGCTGGGGCGCTTTACAAGATTGCTGTCCAGTATGACAACGGAAGTAAAGAAATAAAAACCTCTAGGCACGGACACACACCTCTCTACCCAGCCGGGAAACTTTGAGGGGCTGCAAGGTTCGCAGCGCCTCTTTCGCTGACAGGTGCGCCCTGCAGCCGGGCCCACGCGCGGCGGTACGGAAACTTGCACTGCCGGCTGCGGCTCCTTCGCTCACGCGCGCCTAGGCGCCCTCAGTTCCTCTGAGCCGGCAAGGAGTGGGAGCTCATCTCACAGACACGTGCTGTGGGGACCAGATCACTGGAAATCTTGGTGTCCCGGCAGGTGCGAAGCCCCTGCGGGTGTGAGTGGGGGGAGGGCACTCTAGCCTGGCGCCCCGCACCACAGCCTCCCCCCCACCCCCGCCCGCCTCCTAATTCATTCACAAAACACGAGCCGCAAGGGAGGCAGGAAGGCCGAGAGGCTGCAGGAGCCCAGGATGGGGGAAGAAAGGAAGGCGAGATCGGTGGGGAACCGGCTGCATGGACCGCCGCCGGGAAGCCTGGAGTGGCCGCAGCCCTGACCACCCGGAGCCCTAGGATCCCCAGGGCCGGTCAAGAGGCTCCTGAGGACAGTCCCGTGTGGCCCGCCCCTTGGATGCGCTCACCGTGCCGCCGGCTGCCCGCGCTCCGGTGCTCAGCAGGCCCGCGGCGGCTCCCTGCCCCTCCTCCGGCTCCCGCCGCGGCGCGCTGCCTCCACGGTGCTGCCGCGCGCTCCGACTGATGGTCGCCGGCCCAGCCGAGCCGCCTTAAGTATTGCGCCCTCCTCCGGCCTCGGGGCCGAGAAAGTTGGCAGAGTGGGAGGGCTCCCGGAGCCCGCGAGCGCGCGGGGTTCCCGGCTGCTGCTCTCCAGACCCGGGGTCCCTCGTGGACGCAGCCCCTCCGACTCGAGAGTCGCAGCCTCTGCGCCCTCTGGGAAACTGGGGACCCCCAGTGCAGCTCAAGGCTCTGCTGCTCCGCGCCGACCTCCGGGCCAGTCGCCTTGGGAAGGCGGCCATTGTCCCCAGCCTAGAACCTGAAGTGTCGTTAACTTTCCAGATGACCCGTAGGGACCTCCAAAATCGTTCTTGTCCATCCCCGCCCCCACGTCTCGCTCCCGAAGTCTGAAAAGCTACTCACCCTGTAAGCCGGCTAGTCCAGAGTATCTTCCCCCAACTTCTGCACGCCAAGGGGCGGTTTGTTAGGTGAGGGGACTCCCTAAAAAACCAATGTTCTCCTGGAACCTTCCCGGTGGCGACAGAAAGGAACAGAAGAGAAACAAACAGAAAGAGACTGGTCAAAGAAGGTGTTAACAGTCGTGACAAGCTGAGCTTTGAATTCCGCAGTGGGGCGCTGATGACATTAAGGCTGTTTGCAAAAGCTGCAGATTGGTCTAGCAGGAACCTAGGAGATTCCGGTCTTAAAGCTGAAACAGTTCTTTCTCCTCATTTTCATATCTTTATTTCCCACACCCCGACCTCTTAAGTTTACATCTGACATCCTTGCTAGTAGTTTCCAGGTACCTGCTAGACTTGGGTGAGGTGAGGTGGAGAAGGGTCCAGGAGAGGAGCATGCTATTAGCAGAGGTTTAGAACCAGCTGGAGACCTTGACCTTTTACATCTCAGAAAAACTTGAAGAGAAATGATAATTAAAGACTACTTTTAAAAATGAATTCATGGGGCCGGGCGGTGGTGGCGCACGCCTTTAATCCCAGCACTCATGAGGTGGAGGCAGGTGGACCTCTGTGAGTTTGAGGCCAGCCTGGTCTCCAGAGTGAAGGACAGCCAGGGCTAGACAGAGAAACACTACCTCGAAAAAAAAAAATTTTATGTGTCCTCCAAGCATCAGAGATAACTTCACCAGCCAAAGCAATTCTATAGGCATGTGAGCTGCGGTTTGTAAGCTGTCCTCTCAGACTTGTCCACAGTCCCTTAGTCACTTAGCCACAGTCACCTGGCATACTTGCATCCACCCTCTCCTATCCTGGCAGACAAAATCAATATGTGTCATCCTGCTTCAGGAGAGATCACTGCATGGGTTAAAAGCTTCAGTGAGTTTGTTTTGTTGTGTTATTTTGAGACAGGGTCTCTAGCCCAGGATAGGTCCTTGAACTTCCTATGTCGCCTTGTTTGTTTGTTTGTTTTTTGACAAAGTTTCTCTGTAGCTTTGGAACCTGCCCTGGAACTCGTTTTGGAGACCAGGCTGGTCTCGAATTCACAGAGATCCGCCTGCCTCTGCCTCCCGAGTGCTGGGATTAAAGGGATTGAGAGTGTGCTCTTAAGGCTGCTGAGATGGGCCAGCTGGTGAAGGCACTTTGGGCCAAACAGGTTCAATCTCTGGGACTTACATGTTGGAAGAAGAAAAGCAACTACCACAAGTCTTCTGATCTTGATATATATTGATATACCACAATATATCAATAAAATACAGAAATAAAGGCTAATATTGAATCCACAATGGCATGTGTGTTGAGCTACAGACTGTCTGAGGGGCCCTGCTATAGCCATTAGCAAATCACCAGATAGAGAAGTGGTTGCTTGGTTGCTTGGTAAAGAGAATTGCTCAGGAGTCTGTCAGCTTCGCACAATAAACCTCCATGTCTCTATCCTAGAAATGAGGTAGAGGATTGTTCCAAGATTTACAGAGTCCTCGAGAAAGTCCATAGTAAGCCCCCATCAGCCTGAGGTGCTTCATGGTCGTCCTATTAGAGGATTCAGTGACAGGCAGTTCTGTTGGCATTTAGATAAACAATATGTGGTCTTGATGCCATTATAGACCCCAGGAGCTGAGGGCCACCCATGCCACATCAAGAGGTACCAGAGTCTAGAGGGGCCCGAGTCTTAGGGATGTATTTGATCTTTCCTCCTTGCTCCTGAAGTTGCAATATGCAACATTTTAAATCAAGGAAAACAAATAGGGAGTAAGCAGTACTAAAAACTGGGTGCAGTGACCTCATGGAGAGCAGAGTTTCACACAGAGGTTCATCTCCCTGTGGTGGGAGGGCCTAGCATAGCCAGATGCTTAGCTGCTTGAAGAAGCCAAAAATCTAGACGTGTATGTGAAATCTCTTCCTTTTTAAGTGTTAACAGCTAGTTTCAGACTTTGAAAACAAACATTCCATAGGTTAGACAAAATGCACCAGGGTCATTGTCTGCCCACTGACTGCTTGTAAAACGACCTATTTAGAGGCTCAAGGAATGGGGCAGCCATCCCGAAAAGGCCCAATTCTGTCCCCTTCATGAGTCTCTGTGTACACATTCGCTTCCCTGCAGCTGCTCCTGGGCCAGTGCATGCTAGTTAGTTTCTAAGGCTCCAACTATGACCGGAAGTTTTCTTCTCCCTTTCTGCTGGCTCTAGGGGGTGGTTGGCTCAGCACAACCTTGCCAATCAATTAAGACTGTCCACAGAATGCCACATCACAAGAACAGTCAGCACTCTGCCCATACCAATTGGCCTTGCTCCAATCTGAGTGGCAAACTCTCCCTTTCTGATGTGCAGGACCGGGACCTGGCATTGTCAGGCAAATAAAAAATCTTTACCTTTGTAAGCCTGGCTGTACCAGGAAGGATTTACAGTAATTAGCATGCAGTTTGAGGGTCCCTGTTTCCATTTATCCCTTCACTGGAAAGTCATAAAGGGGCTGATACAATAATGCCTGGAGTTTATCTCTCCGTACCACTGGGGATTTAGAAATAGGGTTAATTCCATACCCAGTCACTTACAAATGTGCATTCAGATGTTGCTGAATTGGCTTTTGCAAAAGTTCCAGACATTAAGTTCCTCAATCTAACTCAAAATATTTGAGCCACACTCTTTTAACACATCTGGGAAACCTGCTCTGAACAGAGCTGCCTCAGGCTAGTTGCCACCATCTGGAAATTTATCCATGTTGAAGACAAATCCATTTGCAAAATTAAGGTGTCCCAAGAGGCAGTTTATGATCAAATATTTTCCTTCTTTCCTTCTGCCTTTTTATGAGGCAAGATGTATTTTTTGTAACCCAGGCTACCCCAAACTCTTGGTGATCCTTCTGTCTCAGCTTCCAGAGTACAGAGATTGCAGGCATGAGCCACATGGCTGGCTATAATTAATGATGATAGAAAGATCTGACTGGAAGAAGTCAGGGACATCAGAAGAGAGATCTGTTTGCTAGAATGACTTAGACAGAGGTTCATGGAGAACAAGAACATTCTAGATAAAAAGACAAGCTACCAAGAATGAGTTCTATGTTTGCAGAATGGCAAAGGGAGGCCTGGGTGAAAGAAGACATTTATTCCACAGAACTTCCAGCTGTGCCTCTGATGCAGTCTAGGTACTCTGAAAAGAAGGTGGCTAGGGACAGAATGTGTATGACTTCAGAGTTGTCTAATAGGCTACAAGCACTTTTAGTGGGGAAGCTTGGTCATAAGTAGCATTTTGTGCCAAGGACTAAAAACAAAGTCTAAGAGATCTGATGAGAGAATAAACCAACAGGGCTGGGACATCAGTACTGCTTTAGAAGGTGAGAGTGTCACCTACTGTGGGCACAGCTGATGGCAGAATGAAGGATAATTAAAGAGAAGAGCGGTAGAGCCCCACCCCAGCCATATGCAGACAACACAATACACAGTTATTTTAAAACACCTTCTAAATTGATGCTGCCGATGTGTGTACCTGCAGTCCCAGCTGCTTGAAGGCTGAGGGAGAAGGATCACTTTACCCTGTGAGTTCAAGACTAGCCTGAGCCAGGTGTAGTGGTGCACACCTTTAACCTCAGCATCCAGGAGGCAGAGGCAGGGAGTACTTTGTGAATTTGAGGCCAGCCTGGTCTACATGGAGAATTCCAAGATAGCCAGGGCTAGAGTGACCCTGTCTGGGAAAAAAAAAAAAAAAAAAAAAAAAAAAAAACATGATAAGTCTCCCAACTCCAAAAAAAAATCAAAATAACTTAAAATGGCTCTCAAATAGTAACAATATGTTCTGTTTCCTCTACTAGGGCTTTCTTTCTCTTCAAGGCAGTGCAAGTCACAATATTACTTAGCACATAATTCAAAGTGAAGAGTGTTTGCCTTGAGTACAGAAAGGCAGATAAAACTGTCTCTTTTGGTTCCTTTGCCTAGCTACAGTTGCAACTCTGGCCTTTGATGGGGTAATTGCATTTATTTTCGATTAAGCACCCTTTGCACTGCTGGTGGCCAGGTTTTTTCCTGCATCCTTGAAGGTCAGGATTAGGTCATACCAGACGGACAACCTGGGGGATGCTGGTTCCCCTGCCCCTTAAATTAATCTGTAAGAGAAAAGACTTTGTGTAGCCATCTCTCCTTTCTGTTTTTTTCCCCCCTCTGAATGAAAGTGGAAAAATCCAGAAGGCAGTTGTCACCTGTCATCTATCAGCTCCTAAAAATTATGTTCATGAAGAGAACACGATTACTCCAGAATGCTCAAGTGTGCTGTTAAATAAATGATGGGGCATGTCCTTCTGTATATATTTCTCTTATTAGTTGATGAATAAATAAAACACTGTTTGGCCAATGAGGCAGGAAGATAGGTGGAACTAGAACACGAGAATTCTGGGAAAGGTAGGCAGAGGGAGCCCACTAGGGAGTGGCTATGTAGCCACTGGGAGGATAGGATGCGTCAGGCATTCTCTGGTAAGCCAAGACCATGTAGAAATACATAGATTTATAGAAATGGGTTAATAATTAAGACAGAGTTAGCCTATAAGAAACCCTAGTCATTGGCTAACAGTTTTATACTTAATATAAGTCTCTGTGTGTTTATGTGGGGCTGAGAAGGGCAGCAGGACCTGTTGGGGCAAAGAAAAACCACCAGCAACAAATAAATATACAGAACACAGAGTTGCTGCTCTCAATGACCATTTCTCTGTTGTTTTCTTTAAAATTGTATGAATTAGGGACTGGAAAGATGGCTCAATGTTTAAGTTCCCATCTCCGTGCTGCGAACTGGACTCTGCAAGAGCAGCAAGCATTCCTAACCACTGAGCCATCTCTCCAGCTTCGCCCCCACCCCCACCCCATCACAATTTTGTTTGTTTAATGTCTCTGTGGCGTGGATGTGCCATGGAATGTGTGCATCAGAGGACTGCTTGTGAGAGTCAGTTTTTTCCTTCTAACATGTGGGTCCCCAGGATCAGACTCAGGTCCACAGGTTCTGTAGCAGGCACCCTTCTCCTGCTCAGCCATCTCACTGCCCCGCAAAGTTGTTTTTAAATGATTAGAATTCTGAGTTTAAATACATCCCTTCTATGCTGAGACTAGGTAGGGGAGAAAAGTTTCAAAACGTCAGTCTGTAATGAAAGTGATGACGTCTGGAGGTGGGGATTTGAACTTGGTGGCAGCAGAAACAGAGTGGTTGTCCATACGGAAATCTCCCCACTGTTCTTTGAGGGAGTCGGGGAGGGGATGTGCAGAGATGTGCCAGCTCTTCAGACACCTGTGGGAAGCACAGGACACAGGGCTGGCCGGTACCTACCAGGGGCTCAGAGCCCCTGTGCCCTCCCCACACAGTATCATAGGGATCCTGGATAAGAGATGGGCAGTGTCTTAGCGTTTTCTATTGCTGTGGTAAAACACCATGAACAAAAGCAACTTGGGGGGAGAGGGTTTGCAACTCTTAGGTCACACTCTATCACTGAGAGTCAGGGCAGG